ATATATATATATATATATATATATATATATATATATATATATATATATATATATATATATATATATATATATATATATATATGTTATTTACCGGCTGGAAGTTTCGTACTGGGGGGTGCGCACCCCACCTATAGTGGTGTCCAGCAACACCTTAAAAAACGTGCTTGACCAAACTTTGTCTGCTTTTCGAATAGTGCAGATTACTGGAACTTCTACCTTTAGCGCGTGTCGATTTCTTGAAACGATTTAATTAATTAATTCTGAATAAAAAATATTCAGAATGCTTTACCTGTAGTTGAATATCATGGTTAAATATGTATGTAGACATGTCGAGGTTGTTATACAGCCATATTTTCGAATATACCACTACTGTACTTAAACAAGCAAATTTACTGTGCTGTGCTACAGCAACTGTCCAGTCAGGCATATACGTGATAAAAAGCACTGTAAAAAGCCAAAACTTTATAAACAGAAGATAATGTAAAACGTAACAGAACAGCAAACATGCAGATTCGGCCATCTCAAATAATGGTAATGACTAATGTTGGGACAGTAGCGTTGCAGACTGCAGAGGAGAGTGGGACGAAAACATTTTTTCCGGACATTATATTTTCTTCTCCTTTCTGCTCAACGTACCGTAAAATTTTTGCTATATATATATTATAGTTTTTAATCAATGTAACTCATGCATATATTTTAGTTTTTCCCATTCTATCCAATTCAAGTTTTGCCGATTACGAAAACAATTTCCCGACTGGGATTCAATCATTTGCCGAATGCCTGACGATCGATACAACAAAGTCGACCAACATGTGTGGTGTCGTGGGTTCAAAATCCTTGGTCGGACCTCTACTCGAGGTCTTAAAATAATTGAGGAGAAAGTGCTACCTCTACATTGACATCAGTAAATGGTTACATAGATTCTCGCGTCTTCTCGGACTAGGACGTTAAAATCGTAGGTACCTCGGAATTCGGATCCCCTATCCGTATCGATTGGGCAATAGCCTGTTGGGAGATCCGCTCACTAATGAGGGAACATGCTAACACTTTCCGTCAAACAACTACTGTAAGTAAACAACTTTACAACACTCGCCTGGTCAGACTTGGTTGATTTTGATCCCATGAGGAACATACTCTTGATGGTTTTTGGCTGAGCAGTAGGCTTCTTAACATTCTACAATCATGGTCAAATAAAATAGATGCTAAACATGTATACTAGCTGTAGATATTTGGAAAGACACTTAGAGGGGTTTTAACAGTTAGCACTATTTTCCATCCAGCAAACTGACATGACGTCATTTTCGGAAGATACAAGAGGTGTTAAGTGGCCATGTACCTAACCCAAACCCTACCCCTACTCTAACCCCTAACCCTAACTCTAACCGCATTAATAAAAAAAATTAAAAAAAAACGACTTTAGAAAATCGATAGGGCGGTTTGCTGGATGGAAAATAGTGCTAACCGGGTTTAAAAAGAACTGTGCACTGTACTTTGTTATCATTATATAGTAATGTCACTATAATGTATGCACTTACGATTTTCTTTTTCTGCCCTCTTTTAGGAGCTACAAATGAAACATTACGATCAGTTGAAACATATAACACTCACTAGCTTTAAGGTGGTTTCATATAGTTCCCACGTTGAGGTGCATGACTTTTTAGAGGAGATGAAAAAAATCTCAGGAGGTCAGAGGTGCGCAATTCCCCTCAAAATCTGGCCATGCTAAGATCTGAGATATGGAAATTTTGAGATATGGTCAACGCGCATGGAAGCAAATGAGAAATGCCAATTTCGGTTCGCGATCCTTTTTCTCAAAATGAATAGAAAACTGTTTATCTCGCATTGACGGCTCCCGCTTGCATTTCATTGACATGCAACAATAAAAACACGCGAGTTTTTTTATATCTTTACAATACGAAGTGTTATTTTCGTTCGATATGCAAGTACTAAAATTAATAGAGAATAGATCTAGCAACATAGTAGCCTGTGTCATAATCCCTTACAATTAATTAGTGAGGTCTGTGAAGTTTGGCGTGCTTGCTTGTTCCAACACAAACGGCCACTATTTTGAACTTTACAGTATTTTAGACTTAGTCAGTGTTTAATTTCATACAGTTTTTCTCTTTATTTATTTAATACGTATTAACTAACACTGCTTCTCATCATTTTGTCCTCACCTCTGGTTCTCTGAAAGTTTCTGACTTATGTGACGCTCTTGAATTAAACCGTCAATATATAAATTCAAACCGGTTCGTGTGCATGAACAAAACGTAATCAAAATCATACTTTTTCTTTATACTTTCTTACTGATATTGCGTGTCCATACATTCGAGTTTGTAGCAGCTGTAGTTAGTGAAGTCGCGAAGTTTCAACTTAAGCACAATAGCACATGCAGTTCTGATGTAATATAAAGTCAAGTAAAGATTACTGTAGTTTAAAAATAAGGAACAATTTGTGGTTACACCATGTATTTAATTTTATTCTGAGCTTTCGGCCCATGTGCTCCGACCGTCTTCAGAGAAAAAGTGAACATTAGATTACGTCAGTAAACCAATTATTACGTCAGTAAACCAAACTGTCATTAGATTACGTCAGTAAAATTGTTCCTTATTTTTAGTATGAACGCCATGCAAAGCTTTAAAGAAAAGATTAGTTTTTTTCTTTTACCGAAAGTGACGGGTCAAAATAACCGGCGAAGCAAGAATTTGACTGGACAACTCTGCATTCTGGCCGGACAACGCCCATCAACTGGCCGTTATTTCGCCCTGTATGTATGGGAGACAATTAAACAAAAAAAGTGACAGTTGAGTGTGTTGTATGAGTGTTCAGAGTAGTACTTGCAGTACAGTATTTTTACTGTTATATTTACCTCCACTTGCTGGTTTTTCATCCAAATCCTCGTCAAATATTTCACGACCATCGTCAGTATAGCCAGTAGTTCCATCTAATATGACCAGAAAAAATTATATCTCTTATAATTGTTGACTAATGTTATGATCCTAATAGAACTGTAGGTCAGATGATTTTAATTACTTAAACATTAAACTACCTAAAAAAATTCAAAAATAACCAACCCTATGTCCCTATCGATACTAAAGTAGTAAAGATACTAGATAGTAAAACAAAATGAATTAATTGCACTTTGTAAAAATTCTGACTGTGTACGTTCTTCGCTGTTTGTTCTCGGGTTGCTCACTGGTTAATTGGAGTGTTGTAATAAGTCACCTACAGGTCAAGTAACGAGTTCAGTGAAGTCACAGAAGGTTGAGATGTTACTCATTTCACTTCGTTCACATGATCACTTGATATAAATAATCAAACCGCATTAGTTTTTGCTGTATTTTGCTGTGTTTTTAATCCCATTTTTGGCCGTGGTAAAGCCACAATGTTCAGCATGGATATTGTACATACCATCATCAACAATCCAGTCGTCTTGAAGCTGACGTTTCCTGACGACCTTGGTGTACTCGTCCTCATCAACTTCATCATAAACATTATCTATCTCATCAACCTGAATATCAGATTAAACACAAAACATTTTAATATGACCCCCATGTTTTGGGAAATGATCAGATGTATGTAGGGCCCTTACTTGAAACATCAAAATCTTACACTTGAGAACTATTGTACTGTATTGTGTTATAGTCATCGCCTTGTACATGCTAGCTCCATGGATTGACATGCACACAGCACAGGCGGCCCAATCTCTGAATGTCCTATATATTTTGAATATTTAACCGTTATAATACTTAATAACGAAATAATTCAAAAACTATTAGCAGTATATGTAAAAAAAATCTAACTTGTTAATAGGATGCATTTGTTGTGTTTGTGAGTTTAGTTGATGCGATTGCTTTACGTTTTCGTCGTACTTGAACGGTCGTCAGTACTGGCAATGAATGACATGGCCATAGGATATGAATAACTGCAAGGCTAGTCACTTATCTGATATACTCTCTGACATCGAGTCCAATATTTCTCCTCAGAATCGTTGCAGAGCAATAATATAGTTCCTCTTTCGAAAGAACATGGTTTGTTCACCATTTGGGCAATTCTCGTGATACACGACGAACTTTGTTTATCCAAATTCCATTTTCGAAAGAGGCGCTAACCCCATGATCGTTGCCACGAGAGCGGCTCAGCAACCAGGCCTCCTCATTCCAAAACACTCCATCAGGGGGGGAGGAACTGGACTGGAATGAGGGGCTTTCAAAGCAACACGATAAAACACACAATATAAATAGAAATGATTACTTTATCATGCTGTATTCGACAATAAACAAGTATTGAATCAAGTCCTATTTTTAGAAGCATGAGAAAATTAGAAATATCTTGTTATGAACTTTTCCTTACATATTTTTTAGAACCAAAATGTTATCTACTTATTATAACATTTAGCTTTTGACAATCATACCAATCTTTTTAATTTTAAAATATTGAACTTGGCTGCGTTCAACCGTATGTCTTATCATTTATATTGTGTGTTTTATTGTGTTGCTTTGAAAGTCCCTCATTCCAGTGCAGCTCCTCCCTCCCCCCCTGATGGAGTGTTTCGAACGAGGAGGCCAGGTTGCTGAGCTGCTTTCGTGGCAAGGATCATGGGGTTAGTGCCTCTTTCAAAATTTGAATTTTGGATAAACAAAGTTCATCATGTGTCACGAGAATATTGCCCAAATGGTGAACAAACAATGTTCTTTCGAAAGAGGAATGTTCATACTATTAGGCGATGTGAAATTTATTGCTCTGCAACGATTCTGAGGAGAAATATTGGACTCGATGTTGGAGAGTATATCAGATAAGTGACTAGCCTTGTAGTTATTCATATCCTATGGCCATGTCGTTCAGTGCCAGTACTGACGACCGTTCAAATACGACGAAAACGTAAAGTAATCGCATCAACTAAACTCACAAACACAACAAATGCATCCTATTAACAAGTTAGATATATTTTTTACATATACTGCTAATATTTTTTTAATTATTTCGTTAAGTATTATAACGGTTAAATACTCAAAATATATAGGACATTAGAGTTAGGTTTAGAGGATAGGGAAAGGGTTAGCTGCGGGTAAGTTTTCGGTTTTATTGTGTGATATAAACACTGCCATTTAAATTTTAAATGAACCAACCAAAGCAATTATTGGGACAAATAGCCGAAGCTTGTTGGTTTCTGTGACCGAACAAATAACGACTTTGTAAACTTTAATTATTTTTAATCCACCATTAAACCTTGTAGCATGCAGGCTTACTTCATATTTAACTTTTTCACCACTTTCACGAGACTGCCTAGATAAATACAGAAATATATATAAAAGGTATCAGGGCAAACAAACCAAATATACTTTTTTATATTCACTACAGATTTCTTACTTGATTTTCTTCAAAGCAGCACTGGCTCCCGTTTCTTTCTTTGATCGCCTACCACGGCGTGTAGCCACAGATTCTAGTCATAAATATAGGTACATAATAGTATTAAATTATTTTGACTCAAATGATACAATATGCAAGTTAACTCTTAATCAAGTTTGGCTCTTTTATTTCGGCATTACAATGTGGGTTTTTGCTATGAATATAAAAGTACATATACAGCAAACATCTGTAGCTTGTGCAAAGTATAAAACGACAGTAAATATAGCAGTAACCTACCAATTTCCAGTGAACTGTCATCGACACTTTCACCTTTCGTTGGCGCCATCTTTGTTCTTAAAATTTTGGCGCGAAATTAGGAACCTTGGTACCATACTTGGTACATGTAGGGATAATTTGCCAACATGAAAGATGTTATAGAAATGCGGGTTGCGGAGAGCGGATATACCGATATACCAAACCATATACGATCCTTATCATGGCGTATGTAATGGAATAATGCGTGAAAGATGTCACATTTCAAATTTTGCCATGAACCGATGAACAGGAATAGTGGCGTCAGCAGTCGTTTTCGTGCGCCAGAGCCAAAGAGCCAGACAATCGACTACACACGTAAAATCGCACAAGTTGTAACCAGGTTGTAACAAACATGCAGCAGACTTGTAGCACAGATTAATTAAGGTTACAGAACATCTTTGAGTGATAATTTTACCTAATTTTTTTTAGTTGTTTCCATGAAAGCATGAAAGCATTAGACAAGTTCTACTATCTGACCAAGTTTGAACGAAAAATGTTGAAAACTCGCAGAGTTATTTACTGTCGATGCAATAGAAGTGTTGATAAAATATTGCATCAATTCCTTTCCTCAAGTTGAACAATTCATTTGATAGAAAATTGATCAACTTCCTGTTACTCCTAGATGAGCCAATTAGATTTCGTTTCAGAACCGATTGACCAATAGGAAACGCACAGGTAGTAAAAAGAAATTTGAATTCGCATGAATTGATCAACTTGAGGAAATGAATTGATGCAATATTTTATCAACACTT